TATATAATCTCACCATATTGTCCAATTATCTGTGTGTGCAGCTTAAAAAATGAAAATACACAATTATGAAATAAGATCTACCATTGTGCATCAGAGCATGACACAATATTTGCATGCATTTCAACATTTAAAAGAAGGCTTATAATCGGGGGCCAGTGGCTGGGGTTTCAGGGATAAAGCAGCAGCAACAAACCTGCAATCCCAAACATTGAACTTCTCTTATTTACTCCCTTTTGTTCTATTAAATATGAAAACAACCTGTTTATCCTGACAGAAGTCCTGTGAGTGGATAACTTCCTGCGCTCTCCTCCTGTGCAGACTGTTAGCAGTTTGCATTGTTCCCAGCTATTCCTGAGGACTACAGAACCCCCCCCCCCCCATTTTTTGCAGGGGGAGATAAGTTCTGTAGTCCTCTCCTAGGGTGACAGTCCTCTCCTAGGGTGACAACACTGGTGCTCCATAGAAAAAGTATGGTGAGTGAGTATTCTCAGAAAGTCTGTTACAGTAAGATACCAAGGTGGAAATAAAGACTGAGGGAAAAAACTATTGCTGCCACTATACTTTCACACTGAAAGGCAATATAATACATGTTTGTGTTTTCGAGGGCTTTGAAAATACATATTGTGAAAAATGTTTCTTTGTTTTGCTCCATTTCATTTTGTACACCTCTGGGGATTTGTGGCTACATTTTGTAGCACTGTACAGGGAAAGATGCAGGGAACGATCAGAGGAGTCAGGAGTCTCTAGTTCAGGAAAGAACTTTTGATTTCTCTTGTTTGGTGGCCTGTACAGTAAATCTGCAGACAGTGGCATATCTATAGATCATGGTATACTAACTATAGATCATAGGGAATCACATGGGAAAAAATGTTGATGGGACCCCTTTTCCACCTTTCTCTGTGGCACCTAGCAGTGTCTACTGTGAAAATACATGTTATTGATCTTAACACAAAGTATGACGGTATCAAGAACAGGCAACCGGGAGAAGTGCCTTAGGGTACATTCTACGCCCTCCCGCCACCACAGTAAGCAAGTACTGAAAGAGGTTGTCTAGTAGTCATTAAAAATAAATCGTAGTAGCAATAATAAAACCACCGCAATGTTCTATATTATGACATTTATTAAAATGTGTCTATAGCCCAAAATTGTTTTCTAGTTTTGGATAGAATGGGGAACAGTTAGAACCCCAGCCAGGTTTTACCGCTATTTAGCACTATAAGAAGATGTGCCCTCATGTTCTGTTTTGGGGACAATGTTTTAGCACACAGGAAGTGAGTGAAAAACTGCAACAGGGAAACAGACAACAAAAAAAGGTGACAGAGGTTCTAGCATTCCCCTGTTTAACATAAAAAAGTTGTTTTTGTTTTTTTTACCTTACTTTGTTGCTGTTAGAGCATTTCCTTCACTTTCTGTTTGATGAAAAGGTTGTTCTCTGAGACAGTAAGGCGAAATCTCACTAATGGAGCCACAAACAGCAGTAAATCATGACAGGGGCTCTAATCCTTCTCCACCAATCCTTCCCCACTCTATCAAAATTTTAAAAAATGTTGGCCGTAGATACATTTTATTCCATCTGCACACAAATACTCTGTATCACTATTGCAAACTTCTTTTAACTCAGGCTTTTTGCAGGAATTATAAGTTTCAGCCTTATCAATTTATACAAAGGAGACACACAGTGAATTGTGACTGCATTAGGCAGATATTTTCTGTCTGCTGGGCTGTCAAAGAAGTTGTCAGGGCAATAAATCTACTCTGCTAAGACAGCCAAATAAGTGCTCTTTACAGCACAGAGGGGAGTCTGTTACTAGAGACAACAATCCTGATAATTCTTGCTGGAGACTTTTCCCTAATGGGCCCCCCTTCCCACCATAGGCCCCATAGCAGCTGTGGGGACTGCTATGGCTATAATTATGCCACTGTCTGCGTGTATAAAAAAAATCTTTGCTGCATCTAATAGAGCTTTCTAGCAATAGTGTTTTACAAATAAAAAAAAATGTACAAGACAGAAAGAGCAGAACAAGTACAAAAAGGCATAATTATTTAGGTATGCCTAGGGTAGCTTGATGTCTAAACACATAGAAAGAGGCATCCTGTAACAATGGTATTCTTGTGGATGTACAGTGATACATAAAATGACATCTAATATTTTATTTGTTTCCAGGGGCTCAAGATCTGGATCGCATTCGTCTGTCCACATACCGAACAGCATGTAAGATTCGATTTGTACAGAAGAAATGTAACTGTAAGTAAAATATATTACTCATTTATATCCATAGAAAGTATAGCCTTTGTATATCAAACTGTGTGGTTTACGCTATTTATTGGTGTGCTCTCTCTATATTATACTTTTAAATTTTTCTGTTCCAGTTTTTGTGGTCATTTGGGACTTTCTGCCTTAGTGATAGAACTCTCACTATTGACATAATAAAGGACTCCAATATTAAGAGAGTAATGGAGGGGGCCACTTTTGGCCACTCCTAAAAATATTAGTTGTCTGTCATGTTGATCCGTTGGTTTAGTGCTTTAAGTCACTGACCAGTAGAGAGTATGCATATCAGGAGTTCTGACTTCAGTCTGACTACTCTGGCTGCATACTTTTTTAATCCGATATAACCAGGCAACTAGAATTTCTTTAGAGGATTAGCACCAGAAGCCTCTGTTCTTCTCTCAGTACAGGTTGTCTTTAACAGGACCACCTCTTTGGCATATTCTTGGAGACTATACACTTCCAGACATCAAGTTACATTTGACAGAAAAATGCTAATGCTAGGTAACAATATTGCAGTTGTGCTGATATCGCATAGTATGCTCTGTTCACAGAATCGTTAGTTCTGTGTAATGCCTTGCACTAGATTCCAGAGAGCTCTTTACATGTATGGCAAGTGAATCCTAAATCTGTGCCTTGGAACACCTCTCTCTCTATTAATGATTGGTGGCTCTGAGAGGGTTCTTAGTACTTTCACTTAAATAAATACGGCTTTCTGCATGTGGGAGACAGCAAGGAGCCTACAGTAGACATGTTTAGGATGACTTCTCCCGCATTTAAACCTAAACAACCGGAAAGTGTTCCTATATCACCAGATAACAGTCATAGGATGGCGGCGCACTGGTGCAGGTTTGCCTGGGTGAAAAAGTTAAAATTCCGGTATGTCGATTTTGTTTGCAATTCAGGGCTTCATTTTAACTGAGGTGTGCCTGTAAGAGACATCCAAAGATTTGCAGTACATTTTAATTGTGTAAATTACTAAGTTTATCATATGACTTTTGACAGCCTAACCCCTTTCCCTGTTTTGGGCTACCCTCCCCCTTTTCCTTATGATAGATAATGTTCTATTCATATGCTTATGTGCTATGTTGGTCACACCATGTGTCCAACTCACAGATTCTATTAAATAGGCATTTGTACTGTAAACAAAACACAATACTGTACTGAAATTGATGTTATTATAAAAGGGATGATAGCCTGATCCACTGTTATTGTACAATCATGCTGACGTGATCTATGGTTTGGTATACCTACCATGCTTTTTATAAGAAAAATGAAAATCCTTTTAACAAGAATATGTTTTTAAAATATGAAATAAAAAGACCTGGTACACAATTGGCATTCTAGTTCATTCCAAAGGTGTGAGGGCTCTGGGCAGGCCACTTGAGTTCCTCCACACCAAAAATTGCCAAGCCATGTCTTTATAGACCTGGCTCTGTGCACTGGGGTACAATCGTACTGGAATAGAAATTTGCCTTCCCCAAACCACAAGTGCACAATTGTCTAAAATGGCTTTGTGTTACATAGTGGCCTTCACTGGAAATATCTCAGTTATTTGGAGGGTTGTCTGCATACTTATGGCCATATAGTGTATGTTTTAGACCCTGTTAAATAGCGCCTATGATGGATTCCATGGCAAGAGACTCTCACAAGTGTACTGTTGGGAAATTTACACTCAGGTCTAGTTGTTACACAGTTCCATCCATGTTGAGGACTATTCACACCATGTCCAGATAATCACCAGACCAGATTGTTTCTGGACCCAAAATGCATCCTAATGTATCCCTATGCTATTTCTGGCCTCTATTCACACCAGCGCAGTCCGTTCCAGACCAGACCAGAAAATACAGCTTGTCCTATTTTGTCTGGTCTGGAATGCACTGGAACGCATAAAAACGCATACAAACGCACTGGCTCACACCTGTAAGACCATTTTAAGGAAACAAATAAAAATATTTCCAAATGCAGTAAAAACGCGGCAAAACGCAATGCACTGCGTTCCAGATCTGGTCCAGAAAATGGTGTGAACCTGTCCTCAAGGTCTAGCTAAATAATTTGCATAGTCATTAACAGTAGTGATGGGCTCGGCGTGTTCGCAGCTCCACGTGGCGGGCCCGCCAGGAAGCTGACAGCGCCAATCACAGGCACGGAGACATTTCCCAATCTCTGCAGTTGCGGACCGGGATCATGTCTCAGTACCCGTGATTAGTGAGGGGCTCGGGCTGCGAACACGCCCGAGCCCATCACTAATTAACAGCAGAGTACCACATTGATTAATTTATTCATTCATTTAGTCACGAGTGTCCTGATATACTTTACATTCATTGTTATGTCCAAGCATAAGTAGTGCTTTGTAAGCCACATAAAGATTATGCTAAGGAGAAGATTGAAGGCAATGTGAGTGCTGGTAATAGAATTTTGTGTGTCTTAGATGCTGGTATTGATGTGCAAGAATTGTTGCAGCACTTTCATGGTAGATGACATATTGCCCATCAATATAATGCTTGCGGAATAGAAGAAACATGAGATTTCAAACCCAATCCCGCCCTGCTTTATCAATTGTGTCATTTGATGGGAAAACTGCATGATGTTTGTAGACTGTTTCCTCATATCAGGTAATTTAACTTTGCTTCTCGTCAGTGCATTGCTTCTTTGTATTGTTTGCACATGTTAATTAGCACACCTTGCCAAAGAGACTTTTCTAATTTGACTGACGATGAATTATGCGACCTGCTCTTTTTACTAAAGGAAGGCGTCACAATGAAAACATCACTTGGGGGCCTACTGTCATCAGCTCTTTGTTGATGCCTTTTTGATTTAAAATATTAGTCAGCTTTATGTAGTATTCTGTTTAGTACCGATCATTTACATGCAAAAGGAGTAATAATTTACTGTTTTGCCTTTGGTCTGAACATTTTTGTGGCGTGTTTAAAATCAAACTTCTTTTACAATCATGTCCCATTCCACCCTTTACATATTAAAAACACATGCATTGATGTGCATTTTTAATACACCTTGTCTGTTTTCATGCACTTTCATGTACATTGCACAACAACATAGATGAAAATGAGCATCAAAAGTGCAAGGAATTGAATGGCCCTTTTATTCAGAATGAATCTTTGATTGAATACATACTGTAACTGTATATTACACTTTTGTTGTATAGGATGCCTCCAGGTGTCTATGCTTCATTTCTGATATTTGTAGAGTGCCCTTTGAGCTTGAAGCACTTGATTTACGAATACCACTTGTGATCGCCAGCTCTAGCCAACCCCCTTCTTTCTCCTACTTCTAGCTGCTAGCCTATAACTGGGTTTGGCATCTTCATTAAAAAGTAATGAGGTGCAGGAGGGGGTGGATCAGTGACCACAGAATGTGATTATTATTTGCATATAGTACTCCCCATTTTTCCACTCTCACATTCTCTACAAGAATTCAGAGCAGGCATTCAAACATCTGGGGGTTCCTTCTACATAATGTAAGAATGGGCTTTAATAAAAGTTTATTTAGTATGTTTTGTTTTTGTTTTCCCCTGAGCTGTAACCTGTCAACTTTTAAAGTTGTATGTGAATATGACAATTGTAATGTCCAAAAAAAAATAATTTCCTTTACTAAATGCCTGTTTGGTTGCAGCGAGAACACATTCCTGAAAATGCAAGTACTGTCTCCATTACTTTTTTAGTTACCAACTTGAGTGGCCAAAAAGTTAGATGCCCTTATCTGAATATTTCTGTTCCAATTTTGAAGCCAGAGGGTTGCCTTGGCATCGAACAACTATAAGGAGCAGTCAGCAGTGGCCACCTCCATCTTATCCTTGTGACAGGTCAGCTGTGTATTCTCCAGTCTTCAGTAGATGCAGAGATATCCAGTATTAGACCGCGCTTGGCTTGCATTTTAGCAGGTTCATGTTTAGAATGATCTAGAAGTAAGGATATTGGCTACCAAAGAAATTAAACCATAGGGGTTGCAAGGTGCAGTAGGTAAAAGAGCATGTTGTCTATGCATGTCCCAATAATCAATTTAAAGTAGGGATGCCCCGAAATTTCACCTGAAAATGGCACTTTTGGCTAATTGCAGAAAGTGCCATGAAAATGCTTCTGAAAATTCAGTGTATCCCATCCTCTCTTCTCGCTGGGCGCTGGTCTGTGTGCCTTCTGATCCAGCGCCTAGCGGGGAGGAGAGAAGCTTTCAGGAAGCTGAGTGGTGCGGGCGGTGACAGCTGTCATGGTTGCAGGAGGCTGAGCTCTACTCCCGCACCTCCCGGCTTGACCTCCTGTGTCAGGATGGAGAGCGGTTCGGAGCGTTGACAGCCGTGTTGTCACCAGAAGTGGGGCTCTCCTCCCACACCTCCCGGCTTCACCACCTGTGTCAGGATAGAGAGTGGTGAGTGGAGGAGAGCATTGTGATCTGTCACAGGAGGCAGAGCTCTCCTCCTCCAACGCCCCCCCCCCTTCTGTGACAGCCGATTCAGGGTGGAGAGTGAGTATACAAACACTCACCGATCACCTAATCAGTGTGTGTTTGTAAATAACTGGACATAGAGTGCTTATTATGTCCAGTTATGAATGAATGGGAAGTGATCTCTATTAAGGATGCACCGATACCAAGTACCGTACTCAGTACAAGTACAGATACTTTTCCAGCTCCTAGACTAGACTAGAGAAACATTCAAAAGTTAGGAGGCAGCTGTCATTTGTAAGGAGCACACGGAGCTCTTGGGATTTGTACATCTCTGTTTTACTGTATGATTTTGTTTTTATAAATATAAATAAAGGGATGCAGCGATACCATTTTTGCAAGTACAAGTACTGATATTTGCCCTAGTACTTACAAGTACAAGTACTGATACATTTTTGTTTATTGTCATGTGACAGTTTTTCTAAAACAATACAGACTAATGATTTCAGGACAGTGGTGGAGCGCCAGAGTCAGGTCCCAGCTGCAACCGCTGCAACCCTGGTAGTTCTCGTCAAAAT